GCCCGTCCCCTTCCCTCGGCGCCCACCTTCTCCAGGCCCTGCTCCGAGGTCCGGACGCCCCTCCTCCGCCGCCCCACGCGACGTTGGCATTCTGTCACCGCCCTTTCCTTGCCCTCCTCCTCCACCAAGCCGCCTGGGCTGATGTCTTCCGGGCACCTTCCGCCTGGTTTCTAAGGGGAAGTTCCTCCTCGGATCCCGGCGAAAGAAGGTCTCCTGGGGACATAGTGGCAAAGTCCCTCCCGCCCTGCACTGACCCCTCTGCACCCACGCGGTCCAGTGGCTGTACGTGGCTGAAGAGCGAACAGTGTGGGGGTCTCCGTGTTTTGACGGCCTCAGTTGACTGCGTCTGAGGGGCCAGAGGTGGGCGAGGTCTGCGGGGCTGGTGGTCTTGCAGGCCCGTGGGCTGAGAGAGGAAGACCCAGGGAAGCAGCAGCCAGAGGCTTTCCCCAAACATCGGCCTGGTGGTCCGTTCCCAGGACAGGGGAGGTGGAGCCAGCCCTGGCCAGCGAAATCTCACTGCCACCCCCTGCAGTCCCACCAGCCGGCAGGCTCCCTCTCCCACTCCCACCACTGCCCGCCCGGCGCACTGTGCCTGGGGTACTCTTCTCCTCGTCCTCCTAAAACCTTTTTGCTCCTTTCCCTTGGGACCCAGGTGGCACCTCTTCAATGAGCCTTCCTTGACTACCTTTCCCAAAACTCCCTCTCCCCTCCCTGTCCCCTTGATGCTTATTTTTCTGCCGCACAGCACCCTTACCTCCTCCGCACATCACATCCAAGCAGACGTTCTGCTGACGGCCTGGCTCTCCCACGGGGAAGGTCTGTTTTCGGCATGGCTGTACCCCGGGCCTAGGACTTTGCCTGAGATTCATATGCCGAAGCCCTAACCCCCATATGACAGCATTTGAAGATACGCATATCAGGAGGTAATTACAGTTAAATTAGGTCATACCGTGGCGCCCAGATCTCACAGGACTGGTGTCCTCCCTGCAGCAGGCATGCTCCTCAGCTCCACAGGCCAGGGCCCTGCCTGACTCTCCTGTCCTCAGTGCCAGGCACAGGAGGCAGGAGCTCTGAAGAAGGGTGTGCAGGAGGGAATGGATGAAGTGACGGGGTGGCCCTGGTTGTACCTCCCTTCTCACCTGGGCCTGCATCCCCATCTGTAACATGGGGACTCTGTGGGGGTTGGGGCCTCCAGTTCTGCATCAGCAGCCCCGCCTGAGCACTGGTCTGCACTGGTGGCAGCGGACAACACAGAGGCTGGCAATGCAATGGGCCTCCCCTCTGCCTCTCCAGCTGCACAGCTCACCGGCCTTCCTACTGCTATCCCTCTGCCCAGGCCGGTCCCCACCTGTATTCTTGGGACTCTAACTGCCTGCAGCAAACTCTTCCCTGGAGGCCCTCTGGGTGGCTTGGCCAAAGTGTTGTTTTCAGGGACTGTGCAGGAGTCCCACCCCACCCCTCAAGCCTGCCTCCCTCGGGTCTGAGCCAAAGGACCAGCAACTGATCCCTCATCCCGTTTTCCCTGGCAATCCCAGCATGGGTGCCAGAAAAGATTTGTTGAAAGAACAAATGAACTTTGCTTGGACTCCCCCTTTCTTAGCTCAGTAATACTCCCGGAGTTGCCATGCAGGGAATTTTCTAACATCAGCAAATGTAAAGTAATATCTTGGACTGGAAGAGGGTGGGAACAGGACTCAGGGCTCCACACAGCCATTTGTTCATCTTTGTGCTGCTTACATGGATGTGTTTGGTTCGTGGGAATTAAGCAACTTGTGACTTGGAGGTGTCTTTTCATTTTTCTGTATACAAATATTCAGAATATAAAATAGAATCAGATAAGATATATAAAAACAAAAAGATTTGAAATCTTTGAAAAAATTCTGGTTTAGCTGTATTTCCTATTATGATGCAAATGTTTTCCACAAAAGATATAAAATCCACTTTTTTAGAGTGTTGAGCAAAAATGGAACGTGTGCATAAGGCCTGGAGTTCAAGTGTGAGCCCTAAATATATAAATAAATGCAAAAAGAATTCCATGGTTTTGTTTGTTAAATGTAACAATGTTTTATTGTTTCTACTGTACAATAAAATGAATGCTACAGAGCTGGGTTGTGGCTCAGTGGTAGAGCACTTGCCTAGCACATGTAAGGCCCTAGGTTCAAACCTCAGCACCACATAAAATAAATGAATAAAAATAAACAATAAAAATAATAATGTTTATGATAATAATAATAAAATGAATGCTACAGAGACTTGCCTGAAATTATGAATTAATTGTTCAGGGTTAACAAGAAATGAATTATTCTGGAAGCCCGGCCCAGTGGCGTGTACTGTAATCCCAGCAGCTCAGGAGGCTGAGACAGGAGGATGGTGAGTTCCAAGCTAGCCTCAGCAAAAGTGAGGCGCTAAGCAATTCAATGAGACTTTTTCTTTAAATAAAATACAAAATAGGGCTGGGATGTGGCCCAGTGATCTAGTGCCCCTGAGTTCAATCCCCGGTACCTCCCCCCAAAAAAGAAATGAATTATTCTGTTGAATGTGTAAACAATTAACTTTGTAGGAAATGATTTTCCCTTCATCATTCATTATTATATAGCATGTAAGAAAAAAATAAAACTTTCTAAATATCCAAATTTGAGAACTCTATGGCAAGATGTCTGAAGTGCATTGATCGAGCTATTCCATAACTGAATCTACTTAAAATGAGAATCAGCCTTGCTCGCTCTTATTCCCCTCCTCCCTAAAATATGAGGAAGTCATTGTTTTGGGACAGGCTCCTATACTGGGCCCCAACAGACTAGACTAAAAACCAAAGCCCAGTCATTCATCCCAGAGTGCCATGTCACCAAACCAGAATTAAGCTGTTTGTCTACCCTCCGAGAAATCAGAATTAGAGAGATAACAGCCAAACTCCCAAATAGACTATTTTCAAGTGGCATGAAAATGAAGTCTCTTTGCTTTACCCTTTATAAAAACGTTACCTGGAAGAACCTTGTTCACCAGTTCCTTTTCTGCCACTCTGTCTCCTCGACCCCACCTTGCTCCTGCTGGGTGGGAGCCCTACTCCACTTCCGAGGATGGAGGCTGCCCCAATTCACGAATCACCACCAAAGCCAATTAGACCTATCACCAAGTCTGTTGTAATTTTGTCTCTTTACAAGAGAGACCAATGAGAAGAAAAGAAGATACGGTAGGCAGAACAATGGTCCGAAAGATGTCCACATTCTACTCCCTGGAGTTGTGGCAATGTATACATCACCTTACCTGGAAAAATAGGCTTTGCGTGGTGATCAAGAGCGTGGATTTTGATCTCACCATTATGTACAACTATAATGCATCAATTAAAGACTATGGAAAACAGGGCTGGGCGTGGTGGCGCATGCCTGTGATTCCAGCAGCTTGGGAGGCTGAGTCAGGAGCATCTCGAGTTCAAAGCTAGCCTCAGCCATGACAAGGCACTAAGCCACTCAGTGAGATCCTGTCTCTAAATAAAATACAAAATGGGGCTGGAGATGTGGCTCAGTGGTTGAGTGCTCCTGAGTTCAATCCCCAGTACTAAAAAGGAAAACAAACAAGAACAGATTCTGAAATGGAGAGGTTATCCTGGATGACCTGGAGTACCAAGGTGGGCCCAACCTCATCACATAAATTCTTAAAATGGGAGGACATTCCCCAGCTGTGGTCAGAAAGACTCCACAATACAAGAAAGATCAGGTACATGCAGTGTTGCTGGCACTGCCGGTGATGGAAAGGACCACAAGCCAAGAGATGCAGGCAGCTCCCAGAGCTGGAAGAGTCTATGGGATCGATTCTCCCATTGAGCACACAGAGAGAACTCAGCTCTGCCTCACCTGAATTTTAGCCCAGCAAGACCCCAGTTGGACCGCTGACCTTCAGAACTGTCAAATAACAAACTGGGGTTGTTTTAAGGACTCAGGGTGTGGTGGTGGCAGTACCAGTACAGCAGCAATTGCGTGGGCACCCCTTGCCCTGAAGTTTATTTTGCAAACACGAGAACAACAAAGCAAACTTGAGCAGAAAGAAAAGTCAACTGCAATGCAGTTGCTTTAATGAGAGCCTGTTGCTTCGTTTTCTGAGCTTCCTGTTGGGACTTGCCTCAAGAACCTGCCCAGCGGCCATCGTCCTATGCTGGTGTGAAGGGGGTCAGTGGTTCAGGGTTTTCTCTCACTCCTGGCCTTGATGTGCTGGTGGGCTGTGATAGGACCCCACTTGTTCATCTCTTCTCCTGGGTCGGCAGTCAGTGCCCAGGGCAGGGCAGGGGCAAGCGGCCCACTTTCAGTCAGTGACCACAGGTTCCCAGGGGTAGGTTCAAGGCTCCTCCTTGTCCCCTGAAAGCCTGCTGGACTCCTTGCTGGGGTCACATGAGTGGGTGTGAGCTGCTTCCTGGCCAGACACCTCCCAGTGACTCACGGTTCTCCTTTTCCTGGAATTGCTGCTCCTCATTTTCATCTGGGAAGTCACATCCAACCATGCTCAGGTCTAGGTTGCAAGAGACCCTCCAATAGGAGGGGACTTTCTCAACTGCTCTGAAAGTAGAGGGGCCATCTGAAAAGGCTCAGGGGCCTTCCTTCTCCTCTAGCCTCCTTTGCCTGACTGCTGTCCCTCCCAACACGCACACACACACAATATTTTCTCAGCCGCAGTTGTTGTCAGGAGTTCTGCCATTGGCTCTCCATTTCATTCATTCATTTTCTCTTTCTTTTTAAAATAAGTCCCTGCTAAAATTCCCCTGGAAGGGACAACCTTAAAATTATTATCAGGCGCTGACACCTTGGTGACAGCAAAGGATACAGAGATTTGGGGAGGCCTGCCTGATGGGTTGGGGGTCAAGAAGGTGCAGGCTAATATTGCTTGAGTGGCCACTGTGCGCCTGCGCTCTGTGGACACAGAGTCGTGTGATTTCTGTCTCCAGTTCCATTCATCTTCCCTAAGACGCCCACATCTGCCCCCCGCCCCGGCCTGCCCTAGGAAGAAAGGTACATAGCACCTAAACCTAACTGGGCTAGTGGACAGCACTCTCCAGTGACATTTAATAAACGTGCCTGCCTCTGTCCCCCGTTTTCCCAGGTCTATGGTCAGTTCATCTCAAGAGCCTCCGTGGGCCTAGGGGAAGCTTTCCCTGGGTCCCTACACTGCCCAGTGTGTCCCGTCTGGATTCCAGGCCAGCTCTGCTGACTCCGCCGCCGCTGCTTCCCAGCGTGTCCTGCGGCAACACGGCCAGCTCTCAGGACGCTCTGACCTGAGCCTCGTCCCAGGAGAGGCCTGGGCCCTTCACCTTGAGCACAAGACTGTGGGTAGATCTAGGGAGTCTTCAGGGAGCCACAACTTTACTTCTAGCTTCTGACTGAAATTCCACCTGCCTCCTGCCTTTCATTAGGATTGTGGGCTATGACTGCAGGTTCACAGGTAGGGACTGTGACCATCACAGTGTCCACGTGGGGACCAGCAGAAGGGTGAGTCAGAGGCATGCCTGCCCTGCCAGAGCTGTGGGGAAAGGCCAGGACGCCCAAGGACTCCACTCAGGGATGTGTGGTCAGCTTTGAGGGTACAAAGATGACGGGGGAATTGGTAGGGGCTGGGACCACAAAGGTCTGTGAGGACGAGGCTGCCAAAGGCATGCACAAGAGGGCGCAGGAGACTTGGCCAGAGCTGTCCCCACAGGAATGGAGATGGGAAGGAGATGAGGTCACAGAGGCAGGCCTTGGTGCCCCAGTGACAAGAAGCCAGAACCCAGGGCCCCTCACCCTGAGGCCCGCACTTCCCAGCTTTGAGGACGCGACACTATTTGTTGCCTCCCCTGTGCCAGCCTAGAAGGCAGGTGAAGCACCCTGAAGAGCAGGAGCTTGTCTGAGCCAGAGTGAACGGCCACGGGGGACACAGGTGTCCTGGTGGCCCAGAGCAGCTGCACCGGATGAGCTTTTACAAAGTGGCGGCCGTGTACCCAGCTTCAAGCTACCAGGCCAGCTGGGAGTTACACCCCCTGTCAAGAATCATGACTGCCGCTGACAGAAATCAGGCCGTCTTGTAAGAAAGGGGTTGGTCCCGGTCTCTGGCAGTTGGGCACCAGGTTCCTTGGTGAAAGGTTAACAGTGTTTTAGAAAACCACACTTTGGCCCAGAGCAAAGTCAGGAGGAATCTGCAGCCAGTTCAAAGAGTCAGCTCCTAGTGTGCCGGAGACCTTACTCCCCGTGTTCGCCGGCTTTTCCTCCTGAGACAAAATACCTGAGGGAAACAACTTTCTTTGTCTCGTAGTTTCTGAGGTTTCCATCCACAGCCAGCAGACCCCATTGCTCTGGGCCTAGAGTGAGGGAGAGCGTCCCAGCAGACGGGCTTGTAGGGCAAGGCCACTCACCTCATGGTAGCAGGAATGCAGGGCGGGGGGGGGGGGGGGGAGAGAGAGAGAGAGAGAGAGAGAGAGAGAGAGAGAGAGAGAGAGAGAGAGAGAGGAGGGAGGGAAAATGGGGCCAGGGACAGAGTTTGGCCCTCAGGACCCTGTAAGGAGCACTCTGAGAAGCAAGCACCCAGACAGCAGGACACCAGACAGCCTGCCTGCTGCCTCATCCCTGCCCCTTCTGCAAGTAGCAGAAGGTGGCTGTCCACAGGGTGACAGTGAGCTCATGCAGACTGCGAGGGGGCCTATGTAAGTCCTCACTGAAGCTCCGCTCCCTGGAGAGAGGCACTCAGGGAGGTGGACACTTGGAGACTCCCTGAGGCCTGCCGGAGCCTTCTCCCCGTGACACGTCTGCGTAGCTCAGGGGTCGCAGAGCTCTCCCCTAGCGACACTGTCCCGTGCAGCCCGTTGGAAGGGAAGAGGCACTCAGGGAGGCAACCACAGACACTGCCACTCCGGGGTCCCAGAGACCACCTTGGTGGCCAAGCCACGTGGCGCTACTGGCAGAACGTGGCCTGTTACGTCTGAGGGGCTTGCTGGCTGGGGGGAACGGGATAGTTCCGTTCTGTGTGTGTTAAGAGTGTGTCCGATATAACTGCATCTGAAACACACCCGGCTCCAGCCCAGTTCCTCCAACGCTGCTCACGACAGAGCCACTCCCTCCCACGGGGTTCGACCCCCTCCACTTCCTACCAGTTCAAATTAGGAACCCCTCCATGAGGTCATCCACCACTGAGGTCAGACCCTCGGATACCGTCAGCCCTCTAAGTCCCATCTCTGAGCATTGCTATACTGGGGACACGAGCCTCTGGGGGGACACCTCAGATCCAGACCATTACATGGGTGGCATCTCCTGACTCCGTTTTAGGACCCAGAACCAAAGCTACTCCACGTTGATTTTCTTCCTGGACACCGGAAGCAGCCTCTCCAGGCACCTTCAGGGTCAGGCCCTCAGGCCACCCTGGGCCCAGCTCCTCACACCAGGCGCCAGCCTCCCTCACCCTCCATGAGCTCCTCTTGCTGCTTCTCTGCAGCCTCCAGCTTCCTGTGCCCAGCTGACTGACCCACCAGGGCCCGCCCAGGCTCTCCCCTCAGTTCTCCCCAGCCACCCGCTCTCCTCCCGTGTCCAGGCTGCCTGGTTCTCAAGGCCGTCTGCCTCACGCCATCAGCTGGCCTCATCCTAATCCAGGCCTCCGGCTCTTCGGCTGAACTCTTGGAGCAGTACTTTGTCCTGTTCTGCAGACCAAATCATCCCCATCTTCTGCGCATGATTTTTGTGGATCAGTAGTTCAGGCCCAGCAGAACTGGGCTCCCTGTTTGACCTGGGCTGGGGCTGAGGTCTCACCTGAGGCCCTCCTTTTCCCAGCTTTGAGGACAGGACACTACCTTTGCCTCCCCTATGCCCACCTAGAAAGCAGATGAGGCACACTGAAGAGCAGGAATTTATCTGAGCCAGAGAGGACGGCCACAGGGGAAACAGGTGTCCCAGTGGCCCTGGGAGCTCGGGGAGCTGCTGGCGGATTCAGTTCCTTGCAGTTCATGGCTCTTGGACTCTCAGCAGGAGCACCTTTCTGACTTTCCCTGTCTTTAAGGTGCCCCCTCCTGTGCTGGGGTGTAGCTCAGCAGGAGAGCCTTGCCTAGCACGTGTGAGGTCCGGGGTTCCATCCCCAGCTCAGCAAAACCTTCCCACCTTAGGAGCGCAGGCCATTAGGACAGGGCCCACCCAAGAGTCATTTGGTTTTGTTTTGTGGTGCAGGGGCCACATTCAAATTTCTCTTATTGTTTCTAAAATACTCTTTATAGGGCTGGGGATGTGGCTCAAGCGGTAGCGCGCTCGCCTGGCATGCGTGCGGCCCGGGTTCGATCCTCAGCACCACATACCAACAGAGATGTTGTGTCCGCCGAGAACTAAAAAATAAACATAAAAAAAAAAAAAGGCTGAACTTGTCTTTACCTTCAGCGCTTAAGGTCCCTGTAGGGTCCTGTTTCCACCTAAAACCAGAAAACAAATATTTAAAAATAAAAAATAAAAGGGGCCAGGGCTGTGGCTCAGTGGTGGAGCACTCGCCTTCTCAACAGGCTGTGGTCCCCAGGCCGTGGGCACTTCTCTCTCTCGCACGCAGTCTTCCGCCTGGGACATTCCTCCTGCTTCCTGTCCTTCCTACCCAGTGCAGGTGGTCTCCTCAGGGAAGCTCCCAGGAGGCCATGAGCCAGCTCCAGGTCTCCCATTTCCTGGTCCCTGGACACCCTTCTGTCCTTCTGAGCACCCCTGCCATCCACACAGATCTGTTTGTGGGTGTGGGTGTGTCACCACTGTCTTTCTACCCCAGCCTGGGCCCCCCTGTGGGGACACAGCTGTTTGCCCCACTATGCGCCCCCTCTGGCCCAGACCTGGCACATAGTGGGTGCTCCCTACACACAAGAGTCAGTGAATAACAAGAGAATCAGGGCATGGGTGATCCTCTGCTGTTGTCCCAGGACTCTGCAAAATCCACTGACCATAGTAAAATGTCTGAGGGTGGCCCCCAGAAGGACAGAGCCAATTGTGGGAGTGCAGCTGCTCCAGCAGCAGGAGAGCTGCTTTCCATGGGGATCCCCAATATCACAGCACAGGGCCCCCCTCCAAGACACCTGGCTTCCTGTCTGCCAGGCTCCCAGCTGGAACAGGAAGGGCAGGAGAAACAAAGGGTGCGGCCTCTTTAAGAAGCCAGAATATGTCATATGTAGGTCACACCTGTGACCTCGGCTACGCCAGAGTCTGAGGCAGGAGAATGGCAAGTTTGAAGCCAGCCTGGACATCTTAGCAAGACTCTGTCTTGAAATAAAATAGGGGAGGGGTTGTGGCTCAGTGGTAGAGCACTGCCTAGTATTCATGAGGCACTGGGTTCCATCCTCAGGCCCACCTAAAACTAGAGAAGATAAATATTTAAAAATAAAAAATAAAAGGGGTCAGGGTTGTGGCTCAGTGGTGGAGTGCTTGCCTAGCATGCGTGAAGCACTGGGTTCTATCCCCAGCACCACATAAAAATAAACAAATAAAATAAGGGTATTGTGTTCATCTACAACTAAAATAATAATAATAATAAAATAGGGGGCTGGGTTGTGGCTCAGTGGCAGAGCCCTTCCCTAGCATGTGTGAGGCACTGGGTTCGATCCTTAGCACCACATGTAAATAAATCAATAAAAATAAAGGTCCATTGACAACTAAAAACATATAAAAATAAATAAATGAACTAGGAAAGGGCCGTGGAGGTTGCTTGCCGGGCATGTGCAAGGTCTGGGCTCACCCCAGCACTGTAAAGGAAGACCCCTGGGAACCACCAGGTCTAGGGCAGAGGGAGGAAGGCCAAGAGCAGGCCAGGCCAGGACAGAGGGGCAGTAATGGTCAGAGGAGAAAGGTGGCGCAGAGCAAGGGCGAGGGCGAGGACTGGGCTTGGGTGCTGGCAGCCCCGCCCCGCTCGGGGCCAGCTTCCCCAGAGTACCAGGAGGTGGGCATCCCCCGGGGGGTTCCTTCCTCTGGATGCTGGCAGCAAGGCCGTGGGAAGAGCCGTCTCTTCTGACAGGCTGTGCTGGGAATGCCTCCGGCCTCTGGGAGTCCCAGCTACCTGCCCTGCACAGGGGGTGAGAGGCCGTCCTGGGGGGCGTGAGGATTCCCCACGGTCACGCCTGAGCACTGGCGGTTCCTGTAAATGGTCTGACTCTGAGGTCTCTGTTGACCTGTCCCTCCTTCCTTCCTCCTCCTCCATGGTTGCCGCCTCCTCAGCAGGCCCTTGAGGCTGGGTGGGAATAGCGAGGGACCCCCATGGGCGGGACCTCAGGGCTCACAGCTGAAAGGCTGTCCTGATGAAGGAGGAACAGAGACAGGCCCAGAGGTGGGGGGGCAGGCAGAGGCAGGTGTACACAGAGGTCCAGGAGGGCTTCCAGGAGGAGGGGGCCCTCGGGAGTCCTCCACTGCTCCCACCCACCCTGGCAAGAGGCCTTCCTGAAGAACAACCGAAGCTCATTCGGTAGCCACCCAGGTGTTTCCAAGGGACTGCACAGACTCCACCTGCTGGCCCCCTGGGCCTGGGCAGGGCAGGTCTGCCCCTGTTTCACAAGGGAGATTCGGCTAGGGCCAGGGACTCACCCACAACTCAGAGGAGTCACTGAAGCCAACTCGGGTTTGACCCAGCCTGCCCCCTCCTGCTCCTCAACTGCAGCCAGACCCTGGGGGCAGGGATGCCCCCCAAGTGCAGGAGCAGAGGGGAGCGGCTGTGCATGGGGGGGAGGGGACCCCCTTTCCCAGGGTCTGCAGGGAGGCTGGGCAGGGCTAGCCTTCTCTCTTGCTGGCGCACCTGCTGTCCACAGGAAGGACTGCGTTGGAGACTGAGCCAGACACAGGCGGAGTGAGCAGGGGCCACACTGCCCCCTTGAGTCCACCTCCGTGCAGCAGCCTACGCCGTGTTTGCCAAAGCCTGGTCAGATCCCACCATCCCGATTGGTTTCCACCTCACAGAGAACATGACACCCTGGTCTCCTCTATGCCCCACAAGACCCTGCTGGTCTAGAACCAAATCTATGGAAATTCCAGGACAGGGGCCTCCCTCACAGAGAAGCAGGACGCAGCTGGGGCCGAGACCAAGCTGGAGGACAGGCAAGGTTGCATCGGCAGTGGACCAGAGGTGGGCTTTGCTTTGGTGCACACGGCACAGTTGTGGCAACGTGACAGTAGAGACACAGTGTGAGAAGAGAAATGCACTGTTAGACACCTGGAGGGTCCTTATATCACCTAGACGGCGAAGACCACTCACTGCGTGGGCTCTCTCATCCAGTGAGGAGGTCCACGGAACAGGGTGGAGGAGAGTGTGGCTGCGGAGTCGCTGATCAAGCGCTCCAGAGAGCAGGCAGGAAGCAGGTCTGATTTTACTGTGCACTTACCACGTGTATATACTCAGGCAGCAGCTAAGCAGGTTCCAGGCAGCCACCA